AAAAAAGAAAAGAAAAAAAAAAAAAAGCAAAAAACAAGAGAGGCAGACAGGTTCCAGGGTGGTCTTGAAGGCTGCTGTCATCCAGGAAATTTTCAGGACCACTAAGAGACCCTGACTGGGCCCTGACTCATCACAATTTAGTTTTCCACACTGGAGGAGTCCTATGGGTTTCTCTAACCTCACTGGTCCTTATACCTCTGCAAAGTTAATATTTTTCCTCCCCATCCCATGCAGTTACAAGCAGAAAAAAAATAAATAAATAAAACCAAGTAACAGAGAAACAACTCAAAGAGTCTTCAGAGGCTTCAAATGTCTTCTTCAGAAAAATACCAACGCCACAAGTTGCTCAGATGACCCCAATTCCACAGTGACACACTTGTTTTACATCCCATGTGGCTGGTGTCTCCGTGCAGTGCTCCTGACTCTGCCAACCTCGTATCTCTTCCTCCTACCTCCCATAACTTTTTTAGGCTCCACTGGTCTGAACTGTGCACCCCCCATCCAAGGGTCCCCCTCTGCTGGTTCCTCTGCACCCTCCTTCCCACCTGTAACACTCATTCATAGTGGAAGCCTCTCATCTTTCTGCTCAAGACTTCAAGTACATATACACAACTCAGCACCTTTACCTGCTCCAGGCCTCCATCTCTGCCTCACTAGTCATTCCCACTTAATATTTCACTTTCCCCAACACAGCATATGTAAATCCCAAATTTAACATCTGGTACACAAACCAGCCCTGCTTCCAACTTTTTTCTTTTGGTTTGTTTGGCTGTGTGGAGGACTGAATCCACATCCGTTGCACAGAGTTACATCCACAGCCCATACCCTCTCTACACACAGTTTGTTGTTTGTTTTTTTGGGACAGAGTCTCACTAAGTGGCTAAACTGACTAGGCAGGGGTTGAATTTTCAATCCTCCTGTCTCAGCTTCCCAGAGTGCTGGGATTACAGGTATGTGCCACATGCTGGCTCAACTTCTGTTCTAATGAAGGATTCCACGGATCTTTCTATATTATTTGCAGAATACTACAATACAGTATCTTTCCCAACAAAACATGTAGCGGTAATCATAGAACCCCCCGCTTTTCAGTAGGTCTTTTTAAGTATTTTCTTCTTTTTCTAGTACCTGGAACTTAAAATATTCAATCCTCTAACTGGATTCAAGTGACCGTCACGACCTAATCTAACATACCAATAAACATTCCTTATTTCCTATCCAGCTATCAGCTGTACCATGCAGGATTCCAATGCAAAGTTGAGCTGTAGTATACTGCTAGGCACTATGCTACTTCTCCTAGACCTAGCCCAATGCTTTTGACTAAAACACACCAACGTTTTCTGAAATTTCCCCAGTACACTGCAGGATGCTAAAAATGCTCAACAAATTCCTACCAATAACAATAGTAATTTTGGAGAATATCACTATTAAACTCTGGCCAAATGAATGCTAATTCTGTTTCTCTGGAAAATCCTAATTAATACACTCACCGATTACTAATACTACGATATAAAGGTAAGATTTCAACTTTTGTCAAAAACTGTACCTTTCGGGCTGGGGATTTAGCTCAGAGGTTCTGGCGCCTGTCTTGCAATCGCAAGGGCTAGAGTTTGATCCCTGGTACCAAAAACAACAACAACAACAAAACTGTACCTATCAATATTTCCTATATAGACTATAAACCAGACAATGATTTTTTTGCATTTGTTCCAGTTTTCATTCTTGAAAATGCAATTCTGGAATTTATATCCAGTATGAACTTTTCAATCATACTACACAAGCACAATAAAAATAAAAAGGAAACAAGTTTGAACCTATTGAGAAAACATAAATACAGGACCTTATATAAACACTAAAGTAGACGCAGATCTTAAAAATAAAGCTACAAAAAGCCAGGCGTGGTGGCGCAATGCCTGTAATCCCAGCACTCGGGAGGCTGAGGCAGGAAGATCACTGTGAGTTCAAGACCAGTCTGGGCTACACAGTGAGTTCCAGGTCAGTCTCAACTACATAGCGAAACCCTGTCTCAAAAAACAAAAACAAAACAAAAAAATCTACAGATAAGTCTACACTATTATGTGAAAGGTTAACAAATTCAGCTAAAAGGCAAAAATATCTTGTAAACACCCTGAGAATGAATCTTGAGAAGGAAAAATTTAAAGGAAAATGTAAGCCTTCTTTCAACTCAAATTTAGAACAATTTAAAACTAAAATTTGAAAAATAAATCCATCTCTGTAGGACATATATAAAGCAAAATAGCTGAAAACAAAAAGCATGTTTCTAAAGAATTATTCACACTGATAGAATGTGGCTATCTATAGTTGTTCACCTTCATCCTTTCCCTGAATAAGATTTTAAAATGGTAACCCTTAAAAATGAAAAGCATGTTATCCATTTGGCCCTATCTCTGCCTTGTTTCCTCTTACCCATCCTTCTTACCATTTCACCTTCCATTAGACATTTTTTTTTTCCTGAGGTGCTGAGGATTAAATCAGGGCTTTGTATAGGCTAAGCCAGTGGTCTACCACTGCGCTACATTCCCAAACCCTAGACATGTATATATACTCCTCCCTCCCCATGCACAATCCCCCTTAACAGGGACTAAACCTAGGCCTTTGAAATGGGTTACACACCCCCAGCACACTTTTTTACTTAGAGACAGGGTCTCACCAAGTCGTTAAGTTGCCCAGGCTGGGCTCAAACTTACTTTCCTGCTTTAGTCTCCCAAAATTGCTGGGATTGGAGGCCCACACCACTAGGCTACACTTACATATTTTAAGCAGTATGAACAAATGGAACTTGAAACTGCATTTCCTAGTAAAATGCAATGTAGTCTCCGTACTTTCTTAGACTAATAACAGACTGTGTACTAAGGGAAAACAGCAGAGCTAGAACTCCAGTTTTTGTTGGCACAGGACATGGTTAAAATGCCTACAGGCTCAGCCCCTTCTTAGGTGGTAAGCATTCTCTCCCCATCTACAAAACTTTAATATGGTAACTGTGGCCTATCTGAAAGTCTATTCACCATTAAATCCAAGAAATATGTCCCCTAGATAAGGTGAGCCATTTATAAAATACATACTCAGTCATTGGTGGTTCCTGTACAAGTGGATAATAGGTGGCAGTGCAGCCAGGGAAGACACATGCTTCTGAAGACTCTGTCCATGCCACGTTGAGCCTTGCACACTTAGGGACAAATGGTTTCACATCTGCTGATAACTTGACACTGCCCTGAGGGGGGGAAAAAAAAGGAAGGGATGACCACATACATTGAGAGCAAGCAACCAAATGTAAACAAAACCCAGAGAGGTGCTCCATTCTAAGTCTCCCAAGTAAGCTCCCATGCTGTTATTTAAAAACTTCTGCCTAGCAAAGACTACAGTTCGTTTTGCTAAAGATTTCTTCCTAGTGCTTTTTTACTTATTTATTTTTCTGGTACTGGGGATTGAACTCCTTTCCTTGCACTTGTGAGGCAGGTGGCGGCACCACTGAGCTAAATCCCCAGCCTTTTAATGAAAATAATGGCAATTAAATTAAAATTAAAGTGGAAATTAAATTCAACCTACATCATATATAAAAGGACCATAACTAACAACATTATCTGTGGTTTTTAAACTTGGAAATGAGTATTTTTACTTCTGAGGTTTAATTAGGTATAACTGAGAATCCTACCCCTACTGCAGTCAAATATACTCCGGGATCCTTTACCAGTAGCACTCTGAACATACTGCATATATTTCCACTAAATCTCTCAAAAAAAAAAAAAAACTCCAGATTTGCTTTTTACTGTGTAAACTATTTAGAGCTGCTTTACTGAAACGAGCATGATTTTTAGAGCTGCTTTACTGAAACGAGCATGATTTGATTTGCAAGAAAATCACTTTATTGCCAATGAGCCCTTCAGTTTAAAATAAAGTGTCTTTTTAATTTTTATTAGCACATGTGCCTAGCACATGTTTACATTCCTTATCGGAAATTGGTACATGTACATAACACATTTTAATTCCTTTTTCTTAGCCCTCACGCCCCATCTCTTGATCCCTTTCCTTTTTATTTTGTTAGCAAATGTTTACGTTTGTTTGAAATTGGCACGTGTACGTAAAAATGTTTTTTGACATAAGTAATTTACTAGTACTACGAATTTTACAACTACTTTTTAATTAGCCTAAAGCTAATTTATGTGACTGTCAAACTCTTAACTTCTAGCAGTTACAAAATGTACAGCGAAAACTGCAACTTTTAAAGCTCACGAGTGCTTTTCAATGAGCGGCTCCCTCCCCAGAAAGCCGCAAGTTCGCCGAGTAGCCCAACCTAGACTGCTTCTAGACATCACGTTACCGCAGGCGCTAAACGCGGGCGGAGCTTGGGCACCGGGCCACCACTCTCAGGCAAGCCCAGGGCCCGAGGCTGGTTCTAGGCCACCGCCCACATCTGCCAAATAGTCCCATTACCACCCGACGGAAACTCTGGGACAAGCCTGGCCGACGAGCTGAGGCCGCCGAAAGGCCACACCAGCCCTTGCGGCCCTTACCGTGCCTTCAGGTCCCCACGGCCTCTCCGACGCCATGGCAGGGAGGCCGAAGGACCCCGCGCCAGTGAAAGCCCCTGGCTGGCCCAGCAGATAACGCGTTTCCGCCTTTCGTGCGGGAGCCAGGAAGTACGTCATCAATAGGCGCTGCTTCGCCCCTCATTCCCGCAAAGCGTGGCAGCTTGCGTGAGCCATACTCGGCTCACCAGCCGCGGAGTAACTGAGCTGTGCTCAAGTAGGATGGAGGCATCTGACATGTGATCTATCTAGGGCACGCTGGGTTATCCCAAGTGACTGCAGCCAGGATGGCAGGGACTTAAAAACTTGAGTGAAGTCCTGGTTTCTCTAGCAACATGGGCCTCATCGGTCTGACATTAGGAATGCAGGAGAGCCCCTTGGATAGGATCCCCTGAAAAGCACCATCCCCGCCTTTCTGTATTTCCCCAATATTTCCTCGGGGTTGTTGGTGATTTAAAGGGACATTTGCACACCCTGTGAGAAGCCTACGGAGGCAGGGGGGCGATATATCACATAAAGGTACACACTCCCTATGATGATTTATGTATATCTAAAATCCAAAATACACCAATGTTGCTTCAAAAACAAAACAAAAAACAAAAAGTAATTCTACAGATCTGGAAAGCGCACCAGCCTATTTACTGATACCTTAAGCTTCCTAAAACCGCCACGGACTTGGAATTAACTACATAAAAGAACTCCAAATTTTGTTTCAAAGTGTTGAACAGAAAATGTGTTATGGCAAATAAGGGTAGAGAAAAACATTTTTGCAGGTGAGAAATAACACTACACAGGGTCAGAATGCTACCAGTACTGAGAAGTTAATGAGCTGTTTCAAGGACAGAAGTCTAAAGGAAAGCCTGCAGAATAGATTTCAAAATAAAAAACGCTCAGGCTTTGAATAAGGGACAGATGGATCAGAAAAAGGTTGCTAGGAATGTAGACCACTTGATGAGTGAGGATTAACAGACAAATTGTAGGTTTTCTGCCACTTGCAGACTTGAACACCTGGTGTTTACACTTCAAGCAAAAATCACAGGTAGCCTCAGTATGTTCATGTGGGTCCCACAGGTTTATTACTACTCGAGTCTGGCAGCTGAATCTGTCTTGGAGGTTGAAGAGTGGCTGTCACCTTCCCTTCTCAGTATTTATTGTGCTCATAAAGTTTAAAAGCAACCTTTACAGATAGGGTCTTACATTGACTGGCTACTCATTCAAAATGCCTCTCTAGCATAACAATAAATCTAAGATGTTTGCATTTAATTCTAAAATATTGCCTTAGCAACTAAGAAGGCAACTGAAACATGAAAAGTACATTATGTCATGAAGCTGTGTTAGTGTTTTTGAACCTTCAAAAATGTTTTGTTTTAATAGGGGCATTATCTTTACTTGGCAAGTGGAGAAAAAGATAAACAGGGTTAATAATAGTGAGGATAACAGTGAGTTTTTAGATTAAGTGGAAGCTACCCAAAGAGTATTAAGATGGGCTTTTCTGTTCACTTGGGCGATCCTAAACATTTACCTAGAAAGTGAACTAATGACAGCTAAAAAATCTACTTTCGCTCTAGTTTTAACATATCCCTGAGTTCTTAGCTTCTTCATTGAGTGAATTAAATAATACCCACCATACCAAACTATTTTAAATTTCTTTAACATCTTTCAGGTTTATTTCCTCAAACCTAAAATTACAGAATCAAAACCAATCTGTATTAGTCACAAGTCAACTAGGAAAATACACCCCAATAACTTCAAACAGGGATAAATGCAACATACAAACTTTATTTAACAAAAGTAACAGGTAACATCTAACAGGCACTTATATTAAGAGAAAAACTATCTAGAAGAACTGTCTTAAACACCTTACAATAACCCACTTGTAGTTGCATTTAACTGAGCTCTGTTGCTGTGAAGAATACAGCTCATGCACAGATATGGATGAATGATTTGTACATTTTTCAAGTATTCACTGAATACTACCTTATATACACATATACATTAAATTTGAAAAAGATTTAACTGTTGATCCAAAATAAATTTCATTTTTGTTGCTCTTTTGGAAGAGGTCGTCTAAAAAGAAGAATATGCGGTTCTGTGGAAAGAAAATTTAAATAATTTAATTCAAGCAGAATAAAATGAATCAACTATTAACTGTTTCAAGTGAATTTTGCTTCAAAGGCACTCTGACAATGAGAATATTCCTCTGAGAGTTTAGTTTTTAATGCTGTTTTTACTCACTAGCAGTATATACATGGCTTTAGTTCTACCTTACGTAGTTTCCTATTTTGTTCAACAGATTATAAATTCTGTAAATTAAATTTACCAATAATCCAAAAACTGAATTCAACCCCACTAAGCTTCAAGCTAGTTTATTATTTAATAAAAAAAACCTTTTGGTTCATACCTTGACCCTCAGATATGCCTAACATGGTAGCACAGCTGAATTCATACACTATCTCATTTATTTAACCTTAAGGCAGTAGATAAACATCCTTTCTGGGGCTGAAGGAAAAGAATCACTTTTAATTACATCAATTTCTATAACAAAACCTAAGGACATATGACTTGTCTTGAAGTAGTTTTAAGATAAGGGAAACAATGAAATTCTAGGCACACAGTATTTTCCAGGTACTATTAACAATGACAAATTTTAAAATACAACAGAGTAGCTATGTTGTGTCCTAAGTTATTCTTACAAGTAGAATGTATATTCATTCCCGTGGTATTTTATTTTAAATGGGAACACTCCATGGAGCTAAGGAATCAGTCATTAAAAAACATCAGAATTCCTCAGTGATATCATTAAATGTCCATGTTACTAAAATACTGGACACAATCACTAATTCAGCTAACAATTTATAACAAAACGTACCTGGCTCATGAATCATGTAATGAACCCAGCCTAGACTCTGTTGGACACCAAGTCGTCTCCACTCCTCTTCAGACATCAGATGAGTTTTGGGCACTTGTTTAGACAATTCTCTGGGTAACATGACATGCCTGTTAAAAGGTACAGCCAAGTATTAAATGCTTCAAGTGTTTCCTTATTATCACTTCATACATATACTAAAAATTTGAAGTTTTTGTCATTAAAAGAAGGTACTTGAAGAAATTCTATTACTACAATACCATTCGGTGCCAATCATCTTCATTCTAAACCACCTTTATCTGGTTTTTGAGACCCTACATTCAAATTAGTGAGCCAAGAACATGCTGTCTAAAAGCAGAAGACAACTCTACAGTTAAATTTTTGTCTAAAAGAGAATCTTGCTTGTAAATCTCCAGGAATAGAACTCTGAAATCTAAACTGGGTACACGGTCACACAGCCCAGCCTACCTTGTGGTTAGCTTTGTTCATGTAACCAAATCCTGACCACAGGATATAAGCAGAATATGCAAGCGATGAAAAATATCCTCAAAAGAAAAGATAAAATAGGCTAACCCTTTTCTTTCTCTTGGTAGACACAAAGTGATATATATGATCAGGAAGTTACAGTAGCAGTGTAAGACCATAGAAGAAACTGCAAACGGATGATGGATGGCAAAGCCACAAGAGGTAAGGAACCTAAACCCTGACTGTGGAGTTGTCATCCCAGTCCCAGACTACAAAACTTTGCATAAGTAGATCAATATAGTGTGTCATTCTAGACACAGATAACTTGTGTTTCTTTTACTTATCACCAGATCTGTAGTAGATACAAGTTCTTGTATACTCCCAAAGTTTTTGTTTTGTTTTGTTTTGGGTGCAAGGGGTTGAACTCAGGACCTTTCACCTAAGCCTGAGCTAAACCCCCATCCCTCCAGTTGTTTCTCTATGTATACTTCAATTAAAACTTTAAAAAAAAAAATTGCAAATGTCTTTGCAACTTCATACTGAACTTCAGTTTTCCAGGAAATTACTGACATATCCAAAACTTTTTTTCTAAACACATAAAAAGTAATCAAGGTCAAGTCACCGATATTATGTACAACTATAGCACTGACAGTCTTAAAAATAAAACTATATCCCTGCCCTGTTACCATAAAAAAGTATAAAAGTCATACTTCTCGGCCCCATTTTTACCACTTTCAGGAGTACTACTACTTTTGCACAGAGGCAGCCATTAGCATCAACTAATTTTTTAATCACTATAGGATTTTTACCAATGAGTTGGCCAACTGGGAGATGAGAAAAGCAGTCTGGTCACATTCTAGGACATAGGAAAACTGAACCATAACCCACTTTAAGCAGAGACATCATCAACTAATTTTAGGCCACGGCTGGTTAAGGACTAATTTAGTGTCATCTGTTGGCAGAAGTGAGCCTCAAAATGATTTTGTTTACTACCATACTCCGTAACATAAAATTCGTACCAATTCCCATAAATTAAATAGATTCTTTAGAGCTGGGCCTGGTGGCGCAGGCCTATAATCCCAGCACTAGGGAGGCTGAGGCAGGAGATCACTGTGAGTTTGAGATCAGCCTGGGCTACACAGTAAGTTCCAGGTCAGTCTCAACTACCTAGTGAGACCCTGTTTCAAAAAAAAAAAGGAAGAGAGAGAGATTCTTTATACTTACTAGTTACCACACTTGGGGGAAGGGGTGTTGGGACAGCACCCAAGAAGCACTGTGCTACACCCCTGTTTTGTTTTTTTTTTTTTTTAACTTTGAAACAATCACTCGGGAAACAAACCGGAGAGCCTCTAGCCTCAGATGCCCACAGTGCTGGAATTATAGGCATGTGCCACCCTTGATTACCACACACACCATCATTCTTGAAATACTGCTTAACATTTAACTTTTAAGCCTCTACATTAAAAGAAAAAAATTGTTACTTTTATCCTCTACATTGTTGGGCAGTCTCAGAGAAATGTAATGCTTTTGTACATCTGCTTTCAAGAACAGTGTGTTGGTAAATGTATCAACAAATTATTGAAACAGAAGTTACCACCCCAGTACTCTCCATGAATTGTGTAGCTCTGGGTTTGATCATCAGGTTTTGATTTTAACAGAAAAAAATATTAAGTTCAAGAGCCAGTCCTGGTGGCACACGCCTGTAATCCCAGCACTTGGGAGGCTGAGGCAGGAAGATTGCTGTGAGTTCGAGACCAGCCTGGGTACATAGTAAGTTCCAGGTCAGTCTCAACTACATAGTAAGACCCTGTCTCAAAAAGCCAAAAAAATAAAAAATTAAGTTCACACGGGGATTATACTTTTTTTTTTTTTTTTTTTTGAGGTGAGATCTTTGTAGTTCAGGCTGGCCTTGAACTCACTATGTACACCAGGCTGGATTAGAATTCTTGACAATTCTCCTGCCTCAGCTGCCTAAGTACTGTCTACTTGTATTTTACTATATTTTACCGGGGGGGGGGAGAAGGGCCTTCTACAAAGGGTCCCAAGTACAAGAGAAAGGACTGGAAAAGTTGCAAATATAAAAGTATAGGTTATTACTCACTGACAAAAATACTAATCTGAAATTTACACTGGCCAGGGATAGCTCATCTCCGTGCTCTGGGAAGGCTGAATCAGAAGGGTCAAATGTACAAGCCCAGCCTGTGCAATTTAGTGACACAGTAGGACCTCGACTCAAAAGTCTGGGTCTAAAGCCCTGGATTCAATGCCCAGGTAAAAGCGGTTGGGGTCAGAATTTTACAGCGACTGTATCAACAGTATTTACAAGTAGTACTGAGTTTACCTTCTATTATTGGATACCCCCAATGATGCTCTTAGCATCCCACAATTCAACATTGTGCTAATATATATTGCCCTGTTAGAATTGTATAGGTTCTTCTTACTACATAATTTATTTCAAATTTGTAGCCAGAAAAAACTCCACCAATTTTATTTTTCTGGATAGGAATAAAAAACAGTGCAAAGTATTTTTCATTTGTACAACTGCCCAAAGTAACTGTTTCCTTTGTATGTAGATTTCCATGATACTGAGGCGATGGACCCCACTCAGGTCCTTTTCCTCCTCAAACAGGAAATCTGACCTTAAAAAAGCAACAGGAGAAAACAAGGTTACCACTTGGCCAAGGCAGGCGTAGGCTTTATCGCCCCTAATTACAACTTGGTCTTTCCCTAACAAAAACTTCGTTAAGATCCAGTGGTCTTGGAGACCACGCCCCTCGCAAGACTGGCTACAGTAAACCTGGCAAATTTGAGTCACCGACCTCCCACGATCTAGTTTGCTATTTTTATTGATTAAACTGCTACTTTCCAATGCACCCTCCAGTATGCAAAGCCAAACATTGCTCAAGGCCAAAGAACAGGACACTGTATACTAGCGGCGCCGGGGTTTGGGGGTCCATGGCCCACTCGGGTTTGCAATGTGGTCCTGAAACGAAGCATTTTCACCACGTACCGAAATAGCTGAAGGCAGCTCATTCAGTCTCGCGCGCAGTTAAAATGCGTGGAGTCCCGCGAGTTCTTCTCTCGGGGATCCCCACCAACCCCAAAGGCAGCAAGAGGGGGAAAATGTGTCCCTGTGTTCACAGGTGGGATCGCCAGTCTACACTAACGCAGCCCCGACCCAGCAACAGAGTAAACGTACACGACTGTCCACCGGGAAGCCCTGCGGCGGATCCTGTTCCGGTCCTACTCGGGGACCTGGAATTGGGACCGAGCGGCCGAGTCCGACCCCGTCCGAACCTCCCAGGATCCCGGCCGGCTCTCTGCGGCCGGTGTGGAAAGACAAAGGCGAACACGAAGCCTCTAGGTCGGCGATATCGCGGGACCTAGGCTACTGGTCTCCGGCTCTACAGGACCGCGACCGAGGGGGCCAGGCCGGGTCAGTCAAGGTTGCTCACCTGTACTCGTAGTGCTCGTCGAAATACTTGTCCGAGTAGTAAATCTGCTTATGAGCCATCCTACTGGCGCACAACGAGGAGAAAAACGAAGCAAACGCGAAATCAACAAGAGCTCAGCCAGACACACGTCCTCCTCACGCGAGGGCAACAACTCCAATAAGACCAACGACTGCAAGCCCAACGCCCTCGATTTGAATCCGACAGCCCGCCCCCGATTGGACGGCAGCAAAGGCCAATCGCCTTCTGCGCCAGCCAGGCGGGGCCTGGCCAGCAACCAGCCTATCGTCGCCTCCCCTCCGTGGTTTTTGCTTCCCCGCCAGCCAATCAGCAGCCTGTTGCGAAGTTGCCAGAGGAAAGAAGTAGAGATTTGGAATGGTGAGGAGGAGAGCCGACCAGACGGGCAGGGGCGTGGTTAGAGAAGGGCGGAACTAGGACGTTAAGGGTCTAGGAGCGCGTGCGCAGGGGTTTAAGAAAGTTCCAGGGTGGCGCAGCCGTTGGGCTGGCTGACCTGAGAGTGACATAAGTATCGCGAGGTTTGGCGGGACCGGAAGTGCCTCAGGCGCGGTTCCGGGTATTCCCCTATCAGTGTAGCTGGGTGTCCTCAGCGATTAAGTGTGTTGTGCTAGGCGGCGGGTGTAAGAGTCAGCACGGCCTCCGCTCACCTTTCGGGGTGTCCAAGCCAGCTCTGCCGCTCACCCTGAGGAGGGGTGCCGAGCCGGCAGACCTCCGGGCGGGGCGTTCTGCCCAGAGGCGCGCTCCTTTACGGCCCCTCAAAGTAAATGTTAGTTCCTGGCTAATGGGATTAATTAGGGACATCATTGTACATTTTTTAAAAGGTGCGTTGTGTGTATGAGTTTTATCAATGTGTATAAATAAAATAGATTAAATTTTTAATATTTCCTTTCGAGATCAAAGAAATAAGTTCCTACATAAACTAAAATGAAAATATAAACAAAAGTCTACAGCAGAAATTATCTTTGATTCATTAAACACACCTAAGACAGTCTTAACACATGACAACAGCATGTTCCATACACAAATTTCACTTACACTGACTGCGTGTATTTCCTTTTTGGCAGGCTGTACTTGTCACCTCTTTTGTGCTCTTTTTTCTGAAGCTTCCTATATTATACAACGTGCACTTAACAGAAAAATGAAATATCAATAAAAATACTGAGTATTTAAACATTTTCAATGTCAACTATTTGCTTACTAAATCAAAAAAAAGTTATAGTATTGTTAGGTAAAAAGAATTGATCCTCACTCAGCTGCACCCCAATGCAGGCTAACCCCACCCAGCTCCTATAAAAGAAGCTCCCTATTCTGCTATGTTATGTTGTTTTCTCTCCTTTGTTGGGAGACAGCCTGGCAGATCCTCCCCATAATAAAGTCTTGTTATGGTCCTGGTCTGGTCCTGGTTTTTGGTTCTTCTTACTTAACAAGTATGTGAACTACAATGAAAATAAAAATAAAACTCTACCACAGAAATAGTATTTACACCCGCTGGGCATGGTGGTGCATACCGATAATCCCAGCACTTGGGGAGGTTGAGATTAAAGGATCGCTGTGAGTTCAAGGCCAGCTTGGACTACATAGTGAGTTTGGAGCCAGCCAGAACTACAGAGCAGGACCCTATCAAAGCAGGACAAAAACTCTTTACTTAAATTTTCACACCTAAGGCAGTTTTCACACATGAGGATGCTTACATGCATAGCATATATGTTTTGTTTTCTTGCCTTCTTTGGTAGCACATACCTAACATTTTGCTGGTTTTCATGTTTTCTTAGAAGGTAATTGTGATATTTCACCTGTCTATTCGCCCTTCTGCTCCAGAATTCTTTTGCAGAGTTCTATGGGAAGATACATATTGTTCTTCCTCTGTTGTAATTGAACATTTATCAATTCCAGTCCTGATCCTCTGAAAAAATTTCTTCATGATATTTTGTGCTTTTTATTTTCTTTGTAAACTACAAAACAATGTCTGACATGTTTAGGATCAAGGAAAACGCAATAAGTGACCAACACTTTGTGTTTCGAGTGATATCATAGTTGTTGCATAACTTGTCAACAACATTTATTACACCTTTTGTTTTATTGTAAAATATGGCCATTTCTGACTTCATTTGTGTTGAGGATTCACTATCAATCATTTGTTTAAAACAGGGTCTTACTACCTAGTTGAGGCTAGCCTTGAACTCACTGTGCAGCACAGCCTGACCTTGAACTCACAGCATCATCCTGCCTCAGTCACTTGAGAGCTGGGATTATAGACATGCACTCCGATGCCCAGCTTCACAATCAATCTTATCGTCATGGTATAATGTTCACAGTATCAATATTACTTTGCTTTTCTTCAGCATCTAAGAAGCCAAAGATTGTACTGTACATTTCTGTACTGTGAATTTACAAAATTCTTTTTCAGGAATCTCAGCTTTGTTGCCACTCCCACCACCACCACCAATCCTGGGTACTGGGGATTGAACTCAGGACCTTGTTCTTGCCAGGCAGATGCGGTGCCACTAGCTACATCCCCAGCCTCAGCTTTGTTCTTGTGAACAGTTCCTGTGCCGGTCAACAGGTGTTTTTTTGCCTTGTTTTGTTTTGTTAGCAAATGTAACTGTTGGATTTCCCTTGCTTTAAAGATGGCTGCTACATGGGCGGGGAATTTAGCTCAGTGCTGCCACCTGCCTCACAAGTGCAAGGACCCTGGGTACTAAAAGAAAGAAAAAAAAAAAGATGGCTGCTAAATAAAATAGCAGCATCCTCCTTCCCATAATGTTCTGCACTTTAAAATGGCTGCCACATGGAATACCAGCCTCCTTCCCATAATGCCATGTTAAAATATGGTTTCCCCAGCCGGGCGTGGTGGTGCACGCCTGTAATCCCAGCACTTGGGAGGCTGAGGCAGGAGTATTGCTGTGAGTTCAAGCCCAGCCTGGGCTACATAGTAAATTCCAGGTCAGTCTCAACTATTAGTGAGACCCTGATTAAAAAAACAAAAACCAAAACCAAAACAAAACAAAAAAACACACAACACAAAATAGCTGCCTTGACTAGCCCCCCCCCAGCTGAGCTTGGAAAGATGCCAAAAATAAAAATGAGGGGTCCTAGCAATCTTTGGACTCTGCCAGGGGAGACAGGCTGTGCCTGCTCCAGAGGATTGCCAACCAGTGTTACTCTTCTGCCCTTTCTTAATGCAATCTTTTTTTATATATATATATATAGTTTCTCCCACCAAAGGACAGTCTTCTTCCCAACATGCCCCTCTTCCTGCCAAGAAAGTTAACCTGATATTTGCTACCTCCGAGCAGCTAGGGATGTCACAAGCCCCTCCTAGTGATGTCATAGGCTCCTCCCATCCCTTAATACTATTCTTATTGCTTAACCTTGTAATAAAGCTGTCTTTACTTTTGCATTCTTGTGGCATAGTGTGACTTTCATCGAGGATGGAATCTCAGTTTAAGTGGTGCACCCAGGTCACTTAGTATTAACCCTTGCTACAACACATCCTTGGCCCATAAAAATCTCAACACCACATCTGTCACTTCTCCATAAATTTTTTAGATTCTGACCATTAGAATGATAAAGTCCTAGGGGCCGGAGATTTAGCTCAGTGGTTCTGCTGCCTGCCTTTCAAATGTAAGGACTTGAGTTGGATCCCTGTTACCAAAAAATAAAATAAAATAAACCTGGCATGGTGGTGAACACCTGTAATCCCAGCAATTGGGAGGCTGAGGCAGGAGGAGCACTGTGAGTTCGAGACCAGCATGGGCTACATACTGAGTTCCAGGTCAGTCTCAACTACATAGTGAGACGCTGTCTCAAAAAACCAAAATAAATAAATAAATGATAAAATAAAATCCCATCATATTAAAAAAAGAAAAAGAGTGATAAAGTCCTACTATGAAGGCTTTTAGTTTAGATAGTAAAGTGCCATGATAAACATACTTTTAAGTATTACTGTTGATACGCATTGAATGTTTTACTTGTATTTATTAGTGTATTTCAAGAAAAACATCTTGTAGCACATCGTCCATTACAACCAATTTCCAACACTGGATCACAGTGTTGGTATTCTGTCCAATAGATTTCAACCCCGGCAGGAACCTAATAACATTTTCTGACCTGGTTCTAACATAGGATCTTTCAGGTATACATGACCATTTTGTAGTCAAATATTTATTTACATTATTGTTTTTTTTTTCCTCATATCAATCAAGGTCATCATTCTCTATTTCTCTATCTGTCATATCTTGCTAACTTCTTTGGCTCACATGATCCAAGTCATCATTGGCAGGCGAGTTATACTTTCAACTTCCCCATAAAGTTGTAAAAGCAGATTTTCATGCAACATTGTACTGAATTGGGCTGATTCTATAAGAAAAATAAAAATGAAACATTTAATTAAAAAATTATAAATACACAAAAATGTAAGATAGCACATAATGTGGTACAACTCACCTATTTACATGTTGACACGTGTGCTTTTCAAAGATCGCTTTCTGTATTCCCCCAGCGCAGGTACTGAGACACAGTTGGATACTGTTAAGCTAAAGTACGTATTTTCATTGGAAGAGTATGATCAGGGCATATTTTACCCACCCATAATGTGATTTTTTTTTTTTTAAAGAGGGCATGGTTGTGCGTGTTTATGATTCCAGCACTAAGAGGCTGAGGCAGGAGGATCCGTAATTTGAGTCCAGCCTGGAGAACTTTCTCAAAAAATAAATGGTGAGGGATGTAGCAGAAGATTTAAAAATTCCTCTGGTCCCTTAGTACTGAGTCATAATTTAAAAATACAAACACATGTGAAGAGAAATTTACTGTAAGAAAGTATGCCAAGGTGCAAGTAGTGGTTATTTTTACATGACAAAATTAAATGTGACTTGTAAAAGTTCTTCACACCACAGTGAGCATGGGTCAGTTTTATATAAAATGTCAATTCCAGTACAACGCGGAATGGAATTTGCTCCCAGCCTTGCTTGAACATGGTGTATAGGGCTGGTGGATACAAAGCACCAAAGACCAGGGGGTGATTAGGCAACAGATTTATTTTCTAGTCTGCTGGAGGAAGGGAGATCAGGTGCCATCGTGGTCAGTAGTCAGGAAGGTCTTCTTGAGGTTACACATAGTCCACATTTCTGTCTTCTAACATGGAGAAAGAGGAAGCAAGCTCTTCTGTCTTCTTAGAGTACCAATTGCCTTCCTGACCATGGAATCCTAATTAGTGCTTAATCTCTTATCAC